TGGCTGCAATGTAGAGTGTGAAGGGGAACCAGTGTCTGGAAAATAGGTAGAAAACCCAATTGTGGGAGGGCCGTAAATGCTGAGTTGAGTTGAGTTTCTGTTTATTTTAGAGGCAGTAGGAAAGACTTTGATTATGAGAATGGAAGTCAGACCTAAGACTCCTTTAGAACGATCAATTTGATATCTGTGTGGAGTATGGATTGAAGGAAGAAACTCGAAGCGTTGGGACTCATTAGGAAGCTGTTGTGATAGTCTCAGAGAGAAGTCTTGAGGGCCTGAACCAGAGCAGCAGCTGCGTGAGTAGAGAGGGAGACACGGGTGTCAGAGATGTGGAGGTAGCATCAATCAAACTTGGCGATTAAGTGGTTAGAGGGATTGAGAAAGAGTGATGAGTCAAGGATGTTTCTGAGTTCATGAGTCAGGGTAACTAGAGATGAGAGTTGGTGATACATGCACTTAACAGAAATAGGAAGGTCTGGGAAGGAGTGAATTTGGGGAGAAAGATGAGATGAATTCTGTTTTAGACATGTTGAATTTGAAATGCCAGTAGATATTCAGGGAAAGCAGCTCTGCAGGCAACTGTTTATGCAGGACTGCAGTTCAGGAGAGAGGTTAAGATTGGATATTATCTAGATTTCGGAATGTTCTCTGTAGAGAGATCATTTAATCCATGGGGAATGATGAAATCACTGAGGGAAAGCATAGACAGAAGGTACATGGACTTGGGACAGATCTTTGTGGGCAGGAGATGGCTAAGGAGCCACCAAAGGAGACTTAAAAAGGAATGATAGCGTTGGAGGATGGCCCAGGGAAGAAGGGATGTGGCCACCAGTGTAAACAGCTGTAGAAATCAAACTGAATGGTGGAATGAGAGAGGGCCATTGGGTTTTGCAGATCTAGATAAGAGATCATTGGTAACCTTGGAGAGAGCGTTTAGTGAGGGATCAGAAAGGAGATAGCTGAGTATTGAGAGGTGAGGAAACAGAGTTTATTTATGAAAGGGAGAGATAGAACCAAAGCTTGTGGGGATGATAGAGTCAAAGGAAGGATTGGTTGGTTGGTTGGTTTGTTTAAGTAAAGGATTGGGGGTAGGGTATGGAAGCCTGGGCAGGTTTGTTGGCAGTTGAGGTAGATTCAGTAGATAAACAGATTGAAGATGGAAGAGAGGGAATGATGGGGGGTGGAGGGTGGGGGTGAGTCAGGACACAAGTAGAGAGGTTTCGAATAGAGCAAAAAGGGAGACATTGAAGGATGCTCTAGATTTGGGTTAAAGATTAAAACAAGATATCTGCTGTAAGATCCTTTTATCCCTATTAACATAGGAAGAGGAGAAGGCAGCTAGCTAGGTGGGGCAATGGATAGCATGCTGTGCTTGGAGTCAGAAAGACTCCCCTTCATGAGTTCAAATCCAGCTTCAGAAACTTGGTAGCTGCTTGAGCCTGGGCAAGTCACTTCACCCTGTTTGCCTTAGTTTCCTCATCTGTAAAATGAGTTGGAAAAGGAAATGGCAAACTACTCTGCTATCTGCCAAGAAAACCCTGAATGAGGTGGGACCCAATGGAACAACATCAAAACATAGGAAGAGAGGCCCTCTACTGGGCAAGAAAAAGAGAAGTTGAGGCAGGCAGTGTGGTTCAGTGGAAAGAGAGGGGTGGTACGAAAACCACCATAACAACAACAAAATGCCCCCTTGTTTTGGCTCCATGTTTCTATTTGAAGAAGTACAATATGTGGAAGGAGCTGATTGGCCTCCTAAGTCTAGTGAATGTTTACCTCCAGGGATGACAAGGTGTTTTATGGAATCTACTATTTGTTTCAAGAAAAAGTAAAAAACTTTAAGTCAACTTTGATTTATATAGGTACATATTAAGATGGATGGATAATTTGAATATTGAATGATTGATTCCCAGGCCAAAATGGAAGATTCCTTTGGTATTCACCTTGGAGAGAATATGCTACTTCATTGGCAGATGTCCCTTATCTAGCCTCGTCTATTTCTCTGGTGTTTTCCGCCATTAGAGTGTAGGCTCCTTGGAGGTGGAGACTGTGTTTCTTGTTTGTATTTGTACCCCTAGTCCTTAGTACAATTTCTGGCAGGTAGTTGATATTACTGTTACTAATAAATGCTCTATCATTTTTAGTTTGTCACACACAATGAGTATTTTGTAGATAACCGTTTTATTTAAACCAGGCACTTGGGATATTAGCTATATAACCTTGAATGGCCCTATTTTTCCTTTCTTATTTTCCACCTGGAAAAGGTGGGAAATTCTGTCGTATGCCGGGCCCTTTGGGAAATTACCAAATTTATAAAATTGGAAAAAAAAAAGAAGAAAAGGCTGTGTCACAGATATGAAGTAGTATAGAATATATGATGTCTCCACAGGGAGACCAACGGAATCTCCCCGGCAGCAGTGGATTTTTTTTTCTAGAGAGAATGTTAAGATACGTGATTTTTTTTGTTATTGAAAAATATTTGTGTGTGTGTGTGTGTATGATCTTAGCTTAATGCCTCTGGAGTACTGTAACTGATAACTAGAATTTGTTTTGGCTTAGTTTTCCAAGATTGAGCAGCTTGCTTCCCTTCAGTTTGAATGTAGGATATAACCTTGAGGTCAGAGAGTGGTTCATTTTTTGTCTTTATGTTCCTGGGGACTCGTGCAGTGTCTTGCACAGATCAGGGCTTTCCTTCATAAATGTTTGAATTGAATTTGAACATGTCCTTCCATGGCTAATGTGCAGTATTGTTAATGTTGAGTCTAAGCATTTATGTGTATGTGTGGATAGTATCACCATATGAGTTATATAATTATGATATTTTATTTTGATTTGGTAATCAGACCTGAGTTTTCAGAGTGTATCCTTCCCACCAAAATTGCAATCATCTGCTTATTTTTAGAGGAGGGAATGGTATACATAGTAAAACAAAGCTAGGTAGAAATTATTTAGGTTTTGTATTTGGCAATCATAGATAAGCATAGTTTTTAGAGCGCTTATCTGTTCTGGTAAAAATCTGTCTCAGTTTTCCTTATGTTGATTTAGTATTTTTTTTTTTATGCATACATATACGGCACTTGCCTCTGAGAGGATGCTATTTAGTGGTGAGGATTCCTAGGCTTGGCCCTTAATGTAATCAGTGACTTTCATAGTTGGCTCTTGGCTAATTCAGAGCACTTTTTCTGCTGCCTGGACTTGTTGTTTTAAGGGCCCAAATATTCATTATTGTATATTATAAGTATTTGAGTGCTTATGAAAATCTGGAAATCATTGAATGAAAAATTGTATATGAACAAGAGACAGAACATGGAAGTAATAGAATGGAATGGAAAGAGAATTGAATGATGAGTCAAGAAATTGGAGCTGTTGTCTCAGTTCTGCCATGAACTGACTCTCAGGGATCTTGGAGATCTCTCCCTGTGCTTTGCTCATCGGTTGAGATCTCTTGAGCCTTTGGAGTAATACTGGGATGTTTTGAGTAGTCCAACGAACACTCCCAGTTTAATGCCTTCCTCCTCTCCCCGTACTCTTCAACCAGGGGGAAAAAAGTTTATTTTTATAGAAAGATTGAAACACTCTTTGACACGTTATTCGCCCAGCTTGTTCTGGTGTTGCTTCTTGTTTGAACTCAGGTCCTCCTGAGCCTCTGCTTTCTCACTTCTGGCCCTCGTGCTGTTTGTAGAACATAAATAGGCCTTGCGAGCAGCTAGACAGTACTGCAGTGGATAGAGCCCCTGGCCTGAAGTCAAGAAGACTTATCTTCTGAGTTCAAATCTGGCCCCAGATATTTACTAGCTCTGTGATCCTGGGCAAGTCACTTCACCCTGTTTGCCTCAGTTTCCTCCTTATAAAATGAGCTGGAGAGGGAAATGGTAAACCACTCCAGTCTCTCTCCCAAGAAAACCCCAAATGGGGTCACAGAGAGTCAGACGTGACTGAAAAATGACTGAACAACAAAAAATATGCCTACAGGAAAAAAAATATTGTTGATGTCTCTCCAAAATATAAACTCCTATGAAACTCAAGGGAAAGTGTGGGGAGTGATGGAAAAGAACAGACCAGAGAAGAGAGAACGGCAAGAGCAGGACCTTCCTCCAGGTGCGAGTGTGCTGTTCTGGACAGTAGATCACTTGATAAATTGGACTTCTGGAGTGTCACCTGACTGATCTGACTGACATAGGACAGCCCTGCTCCTCAGAAGTGTCAGAGGTGGCAGTGCAGTTTTGAGTTTATACATGTGAACACCTGTGTGTATGGATGTTTCCCACTTAATAGTGCTAATCCTTTAAAAAATACATCTGTATAAGCTGGATTCTTTTTAAACCAAATTCTGATGCTGGCATAAAATTATTTTAAAATTCAGATCTAATCATTAACACCAGAATAGTCATTTCTTGCTCTCTCTTGCTTTGGCTTCTGTTTAGATCAGGAGTTCTCACCTTTTCTGTGTCGTGGACCCCTTTGTGGTCACTCTGGTAAAGCATATGGATGGATCTCTTACCAGAATGTTTTTAAATGCATAAGATAAACTATATAGAATTACAAAGACAACTAAAGATTAGTGAAAATAAAGTTGGAACTTTTTCTCTATCCAAGGCAACATACCCCACATTAAGAACCCCTCTTTAGATCGTATGTCATAGGACATAAAGCTGGGAGGTACCTTCCTCATAAGCTTTACAAATGAGAAAACAAATTCCCAGAGTTCAGTGAACAGGAAGTCATCTAGTAAATAACAGGGCTGGGATTCAGATGAAGGTCTTGTGATTTCAAATCAAGTGCTTTCCTCACCCAGCCATAAATTGACAGACTAGTAACATCATTTAAAGATAATATTAATATGACGAAACATTCCAAGGAAGGTTTTTCAGGAATTTTATCTCACTGAGTGTAAATATTGCTTGAAGTTAGAAAATAAAACCTCATTCTTCTAAGTTTCTTGAGTATTGTTAATATTAAGTTAATTATTTTTGTTAATGATGATTTTTTTTCTTTACTTGAAGGTTTTTGGATTCAAAGCATAAAAATCATTACAAGATATACAATCTGTAAGTATGTTTCCCTGCTTCTAAAAATAGCTCTTAAGTGAAAGTTGTTTCTTTTCCGGGGTGAGGTAGCATTAAAGATGTTATTTTACTGCATTGTATTTGTAAAACAATGAGTTCAAGAAGTCTGATTGAAAATATCATTAACTCATTTAGCAAGTGTAGTGATGAGGTGAACTGGGGTGTTGGCAAGGATTTCTGTTACTTGATCTGCTTTAAATGACTTGGCATCCCACGGGTCTTGAGAGCCTGTGACCACGTGACCACGTGGTCAGTGGAGGGGTAATTCCCAGCAGAGCTGCCTGCTCCTAAGCAGGGACGATGGCTGCCCGCCTTCCCTGGACCTGAACTTTGAAGTTAGAGGTGGTTCTTTGTTCTTGGCATCCATTCCATGGGGATGCCGTCAAAACCAGTCTTTTGGCCTCTTTCTTTATGAAACTCAGAAATGTTGCTTGAATGCTTAGATTGGGTGGTTTCTGTTTTCTAGGGCAGTATTACAGGGATTTTCTGTGTCTAAGCAGAAAATGTCTCCTTTTTTGTCTCCTTTTTTTTTTCTTGGTGGTGATGTGAGGGCCCCAGAGAAAAATAGACATTTTTCCTATTTTTAGTTCCCTTACATTTGGAAGGGAGCAGGTTTTTCTGATAACTTTTCCTCCTGAAAAATTGTGGAAAAGCAAATCCTTCAAAAATTGTGTACTAATTTATTTAGATGAAAAAATGTGTAAGATTGGGTGTTTATGCTTTTTTTAAACCTGTTGTAATTCCAAAATGATTTATTTTTATTTTTCTATGTTTTAATATTTTATAGTGAGATTGTGGTTAACTCAGGGCATTTGATCTCCATACTTGTGTAGGGTGGATAAATATTATATAAGTCAATGTCTTGAGCAAGATGTAGTAACTTGTTATTTTCAAGAGAGAACAGTGAGAGACTCGGTGGCGGACACCCAGAACAGACCCTGCCCAGACTCTTGGGCCTTGTGGCTGCTGGCAGGTAGCTCAGTCGTTGCATCTGCAAAGTGGGAAAATGCAGACTCCCAGTGTGGTTAGAAGGAATGTATTTTGTGAGCCCCCAGGGACCATTTCAGTGTGAGTTGTTGTGGAGATTTCTTATTTTCTTTGCTTTGGGGTCACTTCTTTTTTACTTGTGAGGGGCAGATTTAGGAGGTAGAATCATTGACCTCAAGATGGAAGGCCTCTCTGAGGCCTCTTTGGTCCCAGAGGGGAAAGGATTTGCCCAAGACCGTACAGGTGGTAAATAGGCAAAGGCAGGCCATGTGGCTTCCAACATTGTGCCTTTTCTGCTACCTCTTACCTCCTCTGTCTTAAAGTCTGAGCAGCTGAGTGAATGTTGGCAGTGGCAGCTGGCAGTTAAGAACAAGGAAATACTGACCTTATTTGATCAAGGCTCAGGACAGAGAAAGGAATGTGCAGGGATTATAGTTTTGTAGCTTGAGCAAAGGTAAAACCTGGCTCTTCTTGACTTTGTAACCCTGGAATCTGCAAAGGAGCCTTGGTCATCAGGAAATGCTTAACATCTAGACACTATACTATTTTAAAGGACAGTAATAGAGGTGCATATTTTAGGAAAATGTTCATCAAAAATGAGCTTTAGTGCTTAGAGGGATAATTTTAATCAGCTGGAAAATGTAAGTAGAACACCCCATTCCTTCATGATATGGAATGAATAAGATTTCAAAAGTACTTGATATGTTTCAGATAATATGTTTGAAACATCTGTTCAGCATATTTGAAAATCCTTGCTGTTATTAAAATGAGCAAGTTAGGAAGCAGTAAAACAGAAATTTCCAGAATCCTCTTTTTTTTTTTTAACTTGTATTAATTTTATTTTTTATTTTGCATGTGGGGAGGTGTAGTTCTAATCTGTGGTCTCATTTGTGAATGGGATCTCAGCATGGGTACTTCCATGGGCTTAGAGACCTGCTTTGGACACTGAGGGGGCTGAATCAGCTGGTTCACGATCACACAGAGGATGTCTCAGTCAAAGGTAGCACTTGAATCCAAGACCAGCCTTGTCTACATACACTGTGCCCTTCCGTCTTTCATTTTAATTAGTTCTTGTTAATTCCGCCTTCCAAATGGATTTGTTAACAAGTTCTGTCTAGAGGCAAAGACTTGGGAAGTCTATGTTAAAAGAATGTGAATAGCTTATAACAAAACTACTTGAGCATGACAGTGATACCCAGTATCTTTTGATACTAAGCTATTACAAAAAGAAAAGGGCTAGGGAGGATTCTGAGGCTGCTTTAGGGCTGGTCTGGGCTGTTTGGTGTGGTAGGAAGAACCAGGGATTTCTTGGTGTCAGCAGCCCTGGCTCAGGATTGATGCTTTGCTGTGTCTTCCTTTTTCCTTAGGTGATTTCCCCTTCTGGGGCCTCAGTTGTCCTGCCTGCACCACGGGGGTGGGAAGGGGGTGGCACCTGTGTGTGGTTGGACCAGAAAATCTCAGGATCCTTTCAAGCTTTGGATCCTATGATTTTCAGGTGGAAATTCACTGAACCTCAGTTTCCTCATCTTTAAAAGTTGGTGGTGATGCTTGTGTTATCTGCTGTGTCACAGGAGTGTGGTGAGGAAGTCACTTTTTGCTGCTTCTAGTACTGTTGCTTAACTGAACACCTCCAGAACACCTGTAGTCTTTGTATCATTTTAGAATTGGAAAGGAGATTTTTACATATGTAAATGACCATTTCAACTTTCCTTTTAGATGTGCTGAAAGACATTATGATGCCACCAAATTTAACTGTAGAGGTAAGTACCAGGTCTTACCATTGGCTCAGGTTTGCAGTTAAAAAATGAAGAGGCAAACTTCTGCTGCTCAAGGAATAATTCAGACTGTTGGAGAAAGTGTCCTCCTTGGATGCTGCTGGAAAGCTGGTTACCCTGAGGTGGCCATTCGTGTCTAGAGCTTCCAGGGGGTGGTAGTCCAGGGGCTTGCCTGCAGTTCTTACTGAGTGCTGGGGAAACACCATTTAGAAGGCAGGCCATTGGTGTTCGCTTTGGTTTGGGCTCTTGTCTATCCATCTGTGATGCTTTTTTAAAAACATGTGTAGAGAATCATTTTAATTTTTTTGGGGGGGGCCATTATGTGTTTGCTACTAGTAGACCACTTTGTTATTTCTCTGTCTCACATAAACAGAAATTAGTAACTGAAAGAGCAGCTTGAAAAAGCTGGTGTTATCCGTGTAGCATCAAAAAGAAGGGTGCTGTTTTGTCATTCCACTGAGCCTGCATCTCCTTTATATTTTGAAAGTATGAACCGTGCCTGAGGATGCCCCTGCTCGTGATGGGAGGCACTTTTTTGTAGTGGAGGTCAGAGAAGTGGAGGAAGAGGAAAGAAGGACCCAGAGACCTTTCGTCACTTGTCAGAGTCAGCTGGCTGACCTACTTCAGTCCAGTGCTGCTCTCTGTGGCCGGGGACAGGGGTGGGGATGATGCCTGACTTGCCAAGGCTAGAAGTCTGATGGGGCCTAAGTGGAGGAATATGATGGATTAGTGTATGGAGTGACAGAAGACGTTTTCTCTAGAATTTTGCTATTCATTGATTAAACTCCTTGCTTAGAAAATCATTGTCACAGATATGAAATTAACCCACCTCTGGCTGTTTAACAATTCAGAGGAAGAGTGGTGTTTGATAAAATGCATATTGTGTAATGGTACCTTTTCTCTTTTTGACACAGTTGCACAGTATCCTTTTGAAGACCACAACCCACCCCAGCTAGAGCTCATCAAACCCTTTTGTGAGGATCTTGACCAGTGGCTAAGTGAAGATGACAATCATGTTGCAGCAATTCACTGTAAAGCAGGAAAGGGACGAACTGGTGTAATGATTTGTGCATATTTATTACATCGAGGAAAGTTTTTAAAGGCACAAGAGGCTCTAGATTTCTATGGGGAAGTAAGGACCAGAGACAAAAAGGTGAGTTGTGTAGGGGCATTTTTGCCCCCTCTTTTCCCAGGGCCTGGAGCTCCTTGTTTTTATGAGACTCCCCCCCCCCTCGGGACAGACACGTTACACTTCCTTCATTTGCCCAGTCAACAGAAAGTCATCGAATGTTTTGCAGGGAGTGTACTTGTTTGCTTGTGGCTCGTTGTATGGTGTCTTTACCTCAGATTTTGTATTAAACCCTTGGATGGTGTTTCTTCCAAATGAGCAAGCGGGTAATGTCTGGTTCATTGAGTTTTTGTGAGCACACAAATGCCTTCAGGCTTATCTAGCTATATCATTCTGTGCCTGCAAATGAAATAGCAACTTTATTGTTGAATCTTAATAAAGCATTACATGTAGAAGCCTGTGAATCAGGCTGATATGGGAAGTGTGCTTGGAAATAAAGGGCCTTTGGAAGGTAAGTTTGCCCATATGATAAAGTCTCCACGAACTTTTTTCTTTCAGTAGATAAAGAGTTAACTTTATTGTGAGAATTTAAAAATGTAATACACACCAAGCAAAGGTCTCCTTGGATAGCATTAACTTTGGTGTTTCTCCAAAGACTTGGTTCAGATTCAGTGTTCTGTTTGATTAGCACAGTACTGTGAAAGACAGTGTGGTGTAGTGGAGATAGCGCCAGCCTGGGAACCAGGAAGACCTGAGGTCAGGTTCTGTGTGACCCCGCCAAGGCGCTTAACCTTGGTACTCTCTGTATAGGAGGTTGTGGAGATTTGGGGAAGCACTTGGCTCCAAATCGGTGTGTACCCAATCTTTGGTGCTCCCCGTCTGCTCCTCTGGTAGATCCACATCAGCCCTTTAATAACGCATTCTGGAAACTGGAGAGAGATAGAAGTCGAGTTCCTCAGCCTATGGTTGGCAGACTCTTCTTCCTCTTTCTGAAAGTAAGGAAAGTATTTGCCTTTACTTAGTGCTGTAGGATGTTTCCCACTTTGTGTGATTCCCCCGAGCTCCCAGAAGCTCAGCCAACCCCGGGGGCTTGGGGTGCTGTGCTCTTAAATTCCCTGAGAATTCAGGGAGCTGCTTCTTAGCATCCCCTGCCTTTCCTTTTTCCTTTCAGTCTCTTGTTAACTGGTTTTGTTCTTCTGGTCATTTTCTTTGCAGGGAAAAGGAAGCAAAGTAAGAGGTTCTCTCCATCCCCTCTTATCCCATTCTCCCTAAAGAACCACTCTGGCCTCTCCTGGTTTTCTTGCATCTAAATGATAACAGTGTTTTTTTCTTAGGGGTCACAGCCAGCCATATTAGCTTCTTCTCATTAGTATTCTTGGCATTATTCTTTGTAATGCCCTCTAATTCACTGGTATTCATCCTTTCTTAGCCCAATATTTTGTCTTTTTTTTTTTTCTTTTTTTAAACTTAAGTTGGTTCTAGTGCTGTCCACACTGGTTCCTTTAGGTCAAGGATTCTTAACCTGGAGTCTGTGAACTTGTTTTTTTCCCTTTTTAGAAGTATTTTGATAACTATATTTCAACAACAATCTTGTGTGTTTTATTTTATTCTTTTAAAAATCTGATTCCGAGAAGGCTTCTCTAATCTGCTGAAGTGGCCCAGGACGTACAGAAGTTAAGGACGCCTGCTTTGGGCCATAGAAAATGCCGCTGTTGGAGATTAAGTAGAATTTAGTTGTGACATGTCATGGCTGAAGACGTGCCGTCATCTGCCTTATATTTTTGGTCAGGTAAAGAGATCAGCAGCTCAGCTGGTGTGGGGAACATGAGCCCATTGGCAGTTGTCTTGGAGGGAGGAGCAAGAAGCTGAAACAGGAGCAGCATCGCACAGACCTTGTTGAGGAAGGAGCCTTTGAGAAGAAGAGGAGCTTGCCAGAGCTGGGTGTGGGATCCTGGTGAAACTCAGTCATCCTGAAACCACCGAGAGTTCGAAACCAGAAGTATTCTGTTTCTGCAACCATCTTGGGAGCGCTCCCTTCTCCCAAGAGATGAAAATGGAATTCCCCCTTTGGAGTCTCCCTGCTGAAACGTTATGTGCTTTGAGGAATTCCTGATGATAACACTTAGAAATACAAAGCTAGGATGAGCTGAGCCTGCTCGTGCTCACTGCCTGTGCCAATACAGATCGACCCTCCCTCACCTTCTCATTCGCTGAGATTCTGCTCATCTTCTCTGATTGCCCAAAGTGCTCCCGGCCTGTCTCTGGGGGTTGTGAGGTTTCAGTGGTACCAGAACAGCTTTTGGGCTTCAGTCTTTTCTTTTCCCTCTTAGGTGAGTCGCCTGCTTGCTTTTCTAGTGATGGCTCTGGGTTATTCTCCTGCCCGGTTCTCATGCAGAGGTTGTTCTTACTAAGATGCTGCAACTTGTTTATACTTGTAACTCATGAGCAGATCACCCCAGAAGAAATCTGTCCAGCTGCCAAATATATTTTAAACCATTCAAGACTGGATTTTCAAGAAGTCTGAAAGAACAAGCAATTTGAAAAGAAGAGACCCCAGAGGGTACCCTTCCCCAAAAGTGTAATCAAGAAGGCATCAGCAGCTGCCAACTCCTATACCTGCCTTATCATCTCTATAAAATCTTGAAAAAGTATTTAAAAAAAATTTTTTTTTTTTTTGGTTAGGCAATCTGGGTTAAGTGACTTGCCCAGGGTCACACAGCTAGTGTCTGAGGCCAGATTTGAACTCAGGTCCTCCTGACTCCAAGGCCGGAGCTCTATCCACTGTGCCACCCAGCTGCCCCGAAAAAGTCTTATCACCCTGGAGATTCCTTAACAAAAGTGTGAGAAGGGAACAGGGAAAGCCTTTTGTGGACTCCATCCTTACAGTCACACAGCTGACTGAGAGGTGGAGAGGATTTCGGATCCTGTTTGTTTGCTAATTAAGAAAAAACTGGCTCCCTGGAGCGCAACGCAGCCTTGAAGGCTCTCCTCACTGGTGCATTTGTTAACGTCGTACATGATTTGGGGGCACACAACACTGGAAACAACTCACAGACCAGGAGCACACGCTCTCACCTCACGTATTCCCCAGTGTCAGGAAAGAGCTTTGAGGATCCTGGCAGATCTAAATCCCATGTCCTCTTCAGAGTCCAAGCCAGAGGATTCCTTATTGAGGCTCAGCCATTCTGGGAACACGACAAGTCTTATGGTGGTAGGAAGGAGCATCACTCACCATTCACAGTGAAGAAGAAAAGTAAATGGGAAATGCCTGTGGCTGAGACTGTGACGTGGAGCAGGATGGCCATCCCAATGAGTTACAGCCATGTATTCTATTTCAGTTCAATTCAGTAAACATTTACAAATTTATTTAAGTAAACATATTTGGTACGCACCAGGGATTGTGCTTGAAGAGAGAGGCATAGCTGTGGAGCTTAGTGGAGTTCTAGTCAATCAGCAAGCATTCGTTAAGCGCTTAGCGTGTCCGAGGCACTGTACTAAGTGCTGGGAGTAGAAATAAAAGCACAGGCCGTGTCTTTGAGTAGCTTCCCATTTCATGGGGAAAGACAAGCCCTGGAAAGGAGTTGAAAAGCATGAGGAATTGGGAAGGTGGAGAAAATCTAGTGGCAATGAGACAGCATTGGAACCTGGAGAGGGATGAAGATATCTTGGGCCTGGGCTGCCTCCTTAAACTGGAGGTTCTGGGCCCAACTGGCCAATTAGAAGATGAAGCCTCAGGGCTGGAGAGGAGTCTGGGGGAGTGGAATTGAAGGGCTTTTGAGGCCTCACCCCTGACCTTGTATGATACTAGGCATGTCATTTAATTTCTATGCCTTAGGCAACTTCCTAGAATTTATCAAAAAAGTTTTTGATGGGCCAAGATCTGTGTTGGCAGAGGGGGTCCTTGTGTGGAGGTAGACCCACACTGAGGAGGTCACAGGGCCTTTGCCTGTTTATTCACTCACATGGTCTGTCTCGTGTGTGTGTGTGTGTGTGTGTGTGTGTGTGTGTGTGTGTGTGTGTGTGTGTGTGTGTGTGTGTGTGTGTGTGTATGAATGTCTATCAAGAGAAAAGGCCTCTCTGCTTTTCATGGTGCAATCAGTGCTATTTGAGAATAAATCTAGCCAGATATCGAGGGATCCTTAGGCTAGAGGCTGTCGCGTTAGGTGATGGAGCAAGGTTGGTGGGAAGAGCAGGTGATGAGGCTCAGAACCTCATGTGTTTTAGACCATTTTCTGTGTTTGTGGCTGAATCAGTGTTTTAGGCTCTTCTGATCTTATTATGACCACTGATTTATGTCACTTAAACTTCCTTAAGCGGTGATGGTTTTATTAATGTCTGGGGTTTTTTTTTTAAAAACTCGTTTCCCCTTTTCCAGTGTCAGAATCTTATCAAAAACATCAAGTTGGTGTTATTTCAGTTGCATGCCTTTCTTCTCATTTTTATTCTGCTAATTTGGTATTTATTTTGATCTGCAAATTGATTGTATGATCATACACCTAGAATTAAGAATTATTCCTACTCCAGTAACTAAATTATTAGTTTCATCTTTGTGTGATAAGGTTTGGGCCAGTTGTGCTGAAATGGACAGCCTGCAGCCTCTGATGGTATCTATGGCACGTCAGAGTTAGAGGATCAGTAATAATAGTGAACATTTTTATGGTGCTTTGAGGTTTGCAAAGTGGTTTGTATGTATTATTTGATCCCAGAACAGTCCTGTGAGGTAGGTTTTATTATTCCCATTTTACAGATGAGGAAACCGAGGGTTGAGTGACTTGTCCTGGGTCACACAGCTATTCAGATTTGTGGTAGGATTTGGACTCAGGTCTCCCCGACTCCAGGCCTGGTGTTAGAGCCCCTCCATACCCCACTTAGTGGTGCGTTCGCTTAAGAGGAGGAAACGTCTCATGGGCCAAGAAGGCAGGGATGGGTCATCTGCGCTCTGCTTTGGGTAGATTGTCCACATTGATGAAGAATGTTCAAGGACTCTCTTTGTGCTGCTGCAGTTTGAGAGCCTTGGCCGAGCTGATGATGGAGGGCCTGAATCGTAGAAAGGAAATCAGGATATAGACAGACCTTGCAGCCCA